TTATATTTTTTTTCATCAAAATATAAACGATAAAATATTGATTTTGTATCTGAACATTATATGTTCTGTCTTGCAAACTTAATGCACATTTATTTACGTAAACAAAGGCAAATTTGATAAAAGGTTTGGTATGTTTTTTTTATCAGGGAAAAATCATTTCCTATTCTACATCTTTAAAACACAGGCAACCTTAAGAGGTGCTCATTAATATTCACCACATCAAAAGGCTTTTTTTGTATTTAATAGAGTGTACATGCGTGACTTCTGAAGGCCTTATGACATATTGTCAATTTGCATAAGAATTTTACATAATATATTAAAAACACTGCCGCCTATAATCATAAGAAATGTGTTGTTGTTTTGTTGTTGTTTTTTTTTCTGGTAAATTGACCATTGCATAAAATAAACTGCACAATGCAACACATTTTAGAGATTAATGTTTCGTTACGTTCGGGTCGGTTAAGATGAAAGCAAGCAGAAATTGAAACGCCGCTAAATATCATTAAATTTATCATTAAAAATAAACATGTATTAGTTGAATGTGAATAAACATGATAAATAAACCGCAAATATGCTTCAGGCTGATGTGTCTTACTAAATGTAAGTAAGACTGTACTAAGTGATGAAAAAAAATCTGGAAAGAAAGTGATAAAGTTTAGTGTGACTGAAGTAATATTATTTTCATCTGTGCTATTGCACCAGCATATTAACAAAACAAATTCATTACTACCAAAATAAATTGTCCAATGTATAATAAGTATCTATTTAAAAGTCGTGTTTCTAGATTATAGAAAAACATATCAAACATTAAAGTTGAGTTATGTAAAATGTACTTTAAAAAGCAACGTATAACAGGTTAATGAATACGACAGATTTAAATAGATACGAAGCAAAAGTTATAAAAAGTCGTGGTATTGAATGAATTAAATAGTTGTTCGTGTTAGGTTATATCTAAATGTGCTATATGATAAAGTTCATATAAAATGTAATGTTTTAAACCGCGTATAAAATGTTTCCATTGCTTTATTACATTAAACATAAATTATTTCAAATAACTTCACAGCAAATTTCAAATAATAATCTTTATTAACGTACACGATACTGATAATGGATTAGGTCTGAAAGCTGAACTTATAAAGGCCTTCTCTTTGTAGATCCAAAATACATCAAATACGGTATGACAGTATACGTCAATTGTTGGAAATATATATTTGATTTTATATACTGAATCGGAGTCAGGATTGTCTCTTACGACGAGTTGTAATGTAGTGCAAAAAATAATACCAAAAAAATGAACAGAAATGGTAAAGATTACAAAACCGAATCAATGTGTTGAATAGAAATGTATGTGTATAGAGAAATAAAATAATTTTAAACAGAAAGTAATAATATAGTTAAGGAGAAACTTTCAGAATTGCTGACATGAAAGAATTAAATCATTTGTCGATTAATTCGTAGAGTATGACGGTTTGGATAGGACAGTTGATATGGATATGCTCAGGAGCATCTCTTGCATCATCGAGTGTAGGTACGAACGGTTTCAAACAGTCTTCTATTAGCGCCATTGCTAAAATCTGGGTCTCCATCAAACAAAGTTTAGAGGGTTAGTGGCCAATTGGTAGATATAATGTTAAAAAGACATGTCCTACTGTCAACGTGGCGCTGGCACGCAAAGATACAGTGGTGTCTTTCCACTATGCCATAATGACGAAAGGAATATGGATAAATATTTTACTTTAATATATGCTGAATTATTGAACTGCATTCAGTGTGGAAGTTCTGTGTCTTCAAATCATGTTCTGAGGAAAAGAGCTGTTACCTCTCAAATGATATTTGAAAGAGGGCAGTAATCGTGAAATTAAAACTGAAACAGGAAGTGCGTTCTAATGTATCAGGGTAGATGACAGGACGGTGTTTTCTTAAAGAAATGTTCGTGTTCGAATAGACTAGATATCCGTAATATTGCGTAGATTGTATCTCGAAGTTTCACCTTCAGTAGGTAGAAGTAAATAATACAAGTAGTATTGATCTAAGTCACATTTCATTTTATGAAGTAAGATAGGCATATGGCTATATCTAGTAAGATATATTACTGCTGTACTAACAATGATAGCAAAGAACAAGGAGTTATACCGCTAAACGGTATACTACCAATTAAATGCATTATAACTTTAATTAAACCTTCCATATTAAACGAATTTCGAATGATACAAATTTTTATGTATGTGGTTACACTAAAAACGTAGAAAATAAACGACAAAGAAAACACAGTTAAAATCGTATTTCTAGAATAAAAGGGTTACAATCAAATAATGATTTAATAATGGAAGTAAATTCTCGATATAATAATTATGCAAATTTGAAAAACAGTGATACATAGGGTACAAGTTAACCTTTAGATACTGGTTAATGTGTTTCAATGATTCTGCAGCAATGTATATCACTTTTATGCTATTTATGTAGACGTAAAGTGCATAATAAGTGAAACTGTTGCATGCAGGCCAATGTATGTATATAGTCTTCACAGAAATCATACACCTATAAATATACATTGAGAAATGTAATGTGAGCGACTGTGTGTCCATTTTGTTTTTTAAATTATATTACAAAGAACGAGTTAAAGCTAACAGCAAGATATTCCTAAAATATGTCTAGAAAGCAAATCAAATTCTGAAAAGTTGCATTGGTTGTTAGACAATATTAAAAGCTGAACAAATACTATAAATGTATGTAATCTCTTCATAAAAGTTTGCACCTATGTAATGTATGTATGCATATAATTTAGACTTTTTCAAGCTGTAATTTATTAATAAATTCATGACTACTTTTTTGCTGAATCACAAACCAATTTCCGATTAGAAGTGCTTTGATCTTTTACCTCTCATATATGCGGTGAAACTGATCAAATGAAACACGGAAGTGATTCAAATTATTATATGCCTTTATAGATATAAGCAAAAAGTACTTTACAAGCAATTTAGCAGGCAATTAAGTCATAAATTTGGTTAATTAACACGTAATATGGACACATTTCTGATCGAATCATTTCTTTAATATCCCTTATAGGCCTGATGCTATTGGTTAACAAACTAGTATGTCTGATTACTAAAATAAAAAAAATCACTGCATGTTGACTCGATAGATCTATCTGGAAACAGAGCATACCATTTAAATGATCTTTTTCTTAATCACTATAAAATATTTCAGTTGAGATGGATTTAAAACATGTGTGTCTTTGTTTAACATTTCTTTTATTAGTCTTTAATGAAATTAACGTAAACCAAAGCATTGGAGTAAACGCTTATATGGACAGACACCCTATTTCATACTATGATAATTTTGCCTATGGTGGCAAGGACGGCTTTTCTTTTCCACTACATGATCCCGAGTTATTCAATAACCCTTCAGAGTCTGTAGAAGGACGTTACAGACACGCTGCTGTGGCAACCGATTCATTTGAATGCTCTAAAATAGGCACGTAAGTTGGCATAATAATATGTTTTAACATTAAAATAATAAAGCAGTTTAAGAATGTTTTAAATTAATGCTTTAAGTGATGCTCATGCTTGTGCTAAGTAGCGAGATATGTTTTTACACATCCATCATATTGACAAAGTTTGCAAACCGAGTGTTGAGTTTTTGGAATTAATACTATAAGACCACCAACAAAGGATTCAAGAGCAGTAAAAGGTGACCTTGGCATCTCAGTGTTTTAGTATTTGTTTGGTATTTTCGGTTCACTGATTCAAGTATCTTACGATTAAATTCTTTGCTTATTTAAGTCTTTGTATGGGGACGTAAGGAACTTTTGTTTGTTTAGATATCCCATAGTGCAAGTTTTATTTATTCTAGAAAACTTTTGCTTTTTATAGTTTATCACCGTTTTTTTCTGTAAAATGTGTGGTTTGTAACAAAGTCAAGTATTATCTTTGTTTATTTGTAAGCACAATAACTTTATATTCGAAAAATGAAAAACAGCAGACAAGGGAAATTAATTTCAATCGTCAAATAGTTTGGCACATGGGTATTTTTTCAGTCATATCATTTCTATGAATGTTTAAAGAAAACTCATTAATGGAGTTAGTACATAAATAAGTTCGTGTGTTGATCGCATAAAATTTAAAAGAACGTTAAAAAAATTGCAGTTTAAACTCGCTGTTTTTTAACATTTCTTAAGTAATCAAACTTTCAGAAATGTGTAAAACAATTCAAGCAATACAAGTTTCGACATGTTTCTTTCTATTGTTTTTTTTTTCAAGTCTGTTCATTTAAAAACATATATATATATATATATATATATATATATATATATATATATATATATATATATATATATATATATATATATATATATATATATATATATATATATATATATATATATATATATATATAGTATAATTATATTTACCATTAGGGACATAATGAGACGCCAGGGCGGAAGTGCCATTGACGCTGCCATTGCCGCCACGTTGTGTTCTGATGCGTTAAACCCTCAAAGCTGCGGAATCGGTGGTGGGCATTTCCTTACATATTATAACAGGTACATTCTACAAATGACATTCATGTTACTGTTACTGTTGTACATTCACATGTTAGGATTTTCATGAAAGTCATAAAAATGTAGATGATATCAACACATGTAAAGCAACACTCATCAATAAATATCAAATTATGTAATGAAACTTTAAGACTTAGCTTGTACCTTGACTTTTTAAAAATGTTTGCCTTGCAGAATTTTTGTTGGTTTTACATCGCATCAAGACTTTAAAGGTCATATGTCGACTTTCAAGTTTTACTGATTGATAAAGACCTCAAGTGCCCTTCTTTGCATCATTTCAACGCAAGCTGACATCTGAGTAGAAACACCGGTGATCCGTAAGCTAGTTACATTAAGGTCACAAAGTCCTTGGCGGGATTTGAACCCAAAGCTTTGTGAGCTTAAACATTTTAAGCTGGAGTTATTCCATAAAAATATAGTTCTGTCTTCTTGAACCAGAGCAAATGGCTATGTTTATTCGGTTATCGGAAGAGAACGGGCGCCCTTAGCTTCAACCGAGGACATGTTTACCGAGGACAAAAACACGTCATCACAGTTAGGTAAGTTACAAAAAAACAATTGGTACTCAAACAGTTCTTATTAATTATTAGTTGGTAAATAAAATTAGCTATTAAGTCGACATTAGAAGCTTAGAACATGTCATCAAGATTGAGGAAAATCTTAAAAGTATGGAAATTGCATGTTTGCAGCCTGTCATAAATCGATAAAACCCTACAGCGTGAATATTAATAATAAAATCCCGTCGGACCTTTTTTGCCCGTGTACCCTGCCATGTTTGATGTCCTGCGAGTCTCTTTGACGATATTCCTGTGTCGGGGATGCGTTTGTTGAATGCCGCCCTTCCTTGCTGATATTTTTCTTTTCATATCTTAATTGATATCATGATTTCAATATTCTCTTCGGTGCATAAGATGGTTCCTTTCAAGCTCTTAGCGGGAGATGTGCCTTGTGTATCCCTCGTTATCGATCTTAGATCTCAGATTTCTGTGAAACAACGATCGATCCAATCAATTTTGTACCAAACGATTTTATCGAATACAATAAGAAGTTTATATAAATTTATTAAAAACTGGAAACATTTAAAGCCGGCAAATCAGCGGAAAGAAGACAATGTTGCAGGGTAGGCATGTTTTCTTTATGTATAGATTTTAACTCTTTTTTTCTTCATCACATGAAAGGAGGCAAAGCTATTGCTGTCCCTGGAGAAATCCAAGGTTTTTATGAAGCGTGGAAAATAGGAGGTCGGCTGCCCTGGAAGCAGTTATTCTTACCAACTGTAAACTTATGTAGAAAAGGCATAACTGTAGTAAAAAGCGCTCCGTCGTGCTATTACTAATACAGAAAGATTTCTCGAACAGTTTCAGTCATTCAGGTATACCATAAATATAGAAAGTCTTATCCTTAAACTTCACTATAATGTTTTTTATTTTATTATTTATAATGATATACAAAAAATTTCATCATATTTTACAAATCTGTATACATTTACCGAAACGAAACACGTGTAAAGTGTTGCAGACTCGGTTTACCAAGCCTGCAACATTTTTAATTTTGCCGTATTGGGCATGCTTTAGGAATTCTGTTTTTCTCTATATTTGATTGGACCAGTTTATGGGCAGAAATTGTTATCATTTACTATTCATGTCCAAAAACGTCGACTTTAAGCAAGGTTGATTTAAAAAAGACATGCAGATGTGCTTATTTAACTATGAAAACGGAACATCACAAGTGACTTCCATGTCATTCCATACAATTATATGTAGTATGTTCGTAGTAAGGTCCAACAAGTGAGGTGATGCCGCATTGAAAGTTTGCCATAAATACCGACTAGGTTTAACAAGCTTAATGACACAATGTATGATACCAAACATTCTTATGACATAAAGCGGTCAAATAGTTACGATACGGAAATGAATGCTTTCAGAGATTTCCTAACGAATCCAGATACTGGAGAGATATATCAAGAGGGTGACACAATGTTCCGTCTACGACTTGCAAACACATTAGAGGTTATAGCAGAGGAAGGACCAAATGCATTTTATGGAGGAAGTCTTACCGACTCTATACTTGCTGAAATAGCTGACGCAGGTATGGTTCGCTTATTAAGCTAAGCATTTTTATGAACAGACCCAGTACAACCAAGTCTGCAATTGTCAACTATTTTTTATTGTTGCCCATGAAAAAATGTGATTTAGGTTTGTTACATTTTTGCTTGTCTTTTGGGGATAATTGGTTCCAATACTGTTAGCTTTGAGATTTGAATACGGCTATGGGCGTGAGTGATGTTGAATGATCCGTCATCTATCACAAACAACCACAATGTAACTGAGTGTGCAGTTTGCAACCATTTATGATAGTTTACATGTCCCTCGTTGATCTTTTTCCAGACTGTTTTATCATACTGGTAAGATTTTTTGTTCGTGTCTGGCCATGATATTCTTCGCTTAAAGGCGTTTAAATTATTGACAAATAAATCAATATTTTACACGTTTTAACCACAAGCAAGTGCATATAGAGTATTTAATAACATCTCTATAAAACTAAGGTATTGCTTTATATCTTGAAACTAAATAAAAGTATTTAATTTTGTTTCATATACATTGTACTTAGCATATCTTATTATTACACGAATCCATGATTATGAAAGCGACCTTTAAGATTTTTTAGCTTTATTTTTATAAGCTTGTCTATTAGATTTAATGAACATTTGACAAGACATAATAGGAGTGATAAGTTTAGTAATAACCCCGCCAATCATTGTTAAAGAGTAATGGTGGACAATTTACTTTTGAATGTGTACATTTTATGTAACACACCGTATTACCGGCGCCAGTGATGGCAGATCACTGCAGTGATGGCAGATAGCTGAAATTTACCGCTTGGTACAGTTAGGTTATGAATTTGGTTGGTATTTAGTTAAAACGAGATATTTTTAACAAAAAAACAGACATTTTCACGGATTTTTCCGAAGCTGTCACTTTTAACCTGCTCAAAATAGTCTAAAAACAGGAAAATGGGCCGTATTTGTGTAAAATAATAATACCAACCAAATTTATAACCTACCTGTACCGAGCGGTAGTTTCAGCTATCTGCCATCACTGCAGTGATCTGCCATCACTACCGCCGGTAATACGGTGTGTTACATAAAATGTACACATTCAAAAGTAAATTGTCCGCGTATGTCCGCGTATATGAAACTTATCTAAAATTACAATGAACATCTCGTCACCTTAGTATAAAAACTGAATAACTGCTATTAAATTAAGAAGCACTTATTACGTTATTGCACAAAGGTGACATCTGTCCTTTAACATCCATTTCCGATTTTTTGCTCGATGTACTTTTCAATGATCGTACTTATTTGTACCAATATGATGGTTTGTACAAGTCTTTAAAACTACTGTTTGCAATTTTACTAATAGTTTTATCTATATTTTTTGAAATGCTTTAGTGACTGCACTACCTGTAACTAACCATTTAGATTAAAAGAAACGGACATATTTAGGCGTATCGTGCGTTTTCGTGGAGGTAGATAATACTAGTATTTTAGGTGTTTTTGACTTTGCAGGTAGGTGTATACATACTTATCATTTTTTATTAACGACTTTTGTTTTCCGTTTTTTTATCATATTTCCATTTACTTTCAAATGTTAATAATGTTTTTCTGTTGTTTTCTTTTTTTCAAATTAAATGAATGCGTAAAATGCTTTTAAATATTTTTCAGGTTTTAAAGTCCGTGAAAAACGAGGGTTGTAGTCACACGGCTTTGCATTATTACACCATGTGATAGAAAAGGACAGTGTTGTACTTGAACATTTTAAAGATCATATAAATGTGTTTCTATATTGCAAATATACGGAAATTAAACTTGTTCACTATAATATGTGTAATTTCCGAAATAATTCTTATCAATTATGTACAGAGCTTAAGTTAAGGACGGACCTTCGTTACTCTTTCGACAATATAATGCAATGAGGAGACTTTATTGAATTTAGAAATTGTGGTTTCAAAAACACATATTGTATATTATGAAATGTGAACGAATCACCGTCCAGAATTCCTAGGAATACGTGAAATAATGATAATAATAGTGATATTTAGTAGTAACCTTTGGACACTAGTCACTCTGCTTTAATACATTTTAAGCTACTTTTGCGTCTAACCGATTACAGATTTTGAATATCTTATTCGTTGATTGTTGCAGATCTAATGATAGTTTCTGCAAACAAAGAAGCTGGGTAGACAAAACCTTATATGAAAAGTGTTGAGAGCCTTTTATGAAATTTCTTCCAAGCCTTTCCCCGAAAATTCACAATTAAATTTTATTTTATGGTGATAATAATCATCTCTTGCTGTCGTGAACTTCCCACGTCAAAGTGAAAATTTGCCACCGTACGCTATGTACATGATTCTAAATTTTGTAATCACTTTAAGTCTAAGCAGACGCATACATGGTTGCAAAGTCATGAAGTCATATAACGATAATGACAACAAATGACTACAAATCCGCGAAAGTTTGTCTCCGCGAAAATGCCGACGTTGTGAAAAACGCGAAATATTGTATCCGCGAAAATTTCTAGGAATACAGTAACGGTAATGCCTTTATGCATCCACCTTCGTAGAACAAAGATTGGATAGGTTTCAAATTGTGTGATATTCTCGTCTCAATTACTCGAATGTAGTCTACGATTGTGCTGACGTATACATACAGGTTGAATATATTTTAGCACTAAGATTTCTTCCGTTGCAATGGATGTTTCATTAACATTTTCTTAACTTGCAAAACTTATCGTGGAAAACGCAAATATGTTACTTAATATATTTATTTTACTTTATCCACCGGCTTGACACTGAATTATTGTTACCGCCGGGTTTGGCACCGGTGGGTCGATGTTTACTTGATTTTTACTGATTTCACGATTTTTACGTGTATCGGCTATTAACAGAATTGTCACATGTATCTGTTTTGTTCAGTTCATTAAAGTTGAAAAAGAAGGAGAAAAAATAGAATATGACTGCATACACTTCAATTTGTCGTCTGCTTTTAAAGCGCAATTACTTGGAGATTATTTTCCAAATTCCACACATATAACAGAAGCAACCCGGCCATTCAACATTGTTTTCATTTACTTGACGAGATGTTGACACACGACAACGCGAAGTGTTCCATGGATTCCATAGCTATGTCAGCAAGGTTACCGTAAGATAAACTCACCGCTACAACTCAAAAAAAACTTCTCACATTAAATACGGGTCGATGACAAATAACCTTAAAGATGTACAATCCGTGATAGGATTATTATTGTTTGATGCTCTGTATGCTGATTTTACGTCGTTTAACCTAGTACATCAATCCTCGCCATCATATACCAGTGTCGGCTGAAAGTAAACGTGATCTTAAAGCATAGAAATTGTTTGCGCATCATTTTTAACAGCGAAAAATTAATTTTGGATCTACCTCTGCTTTATATCCATATACTGATTCAGATTCTCTTGGTTACGGGTTATTTATAAGTAGTTGGATCCGATACAAGTAGAATATTTATTAATTACTTTTTAATTACCTTTTTTTGTCGTACTTACTTTGGAATTATGGGGTCCACTGTTTGCGTAATAAATGCATAATATTACACTAGGATAACTATGCGCAGTAGTTCATATTATAAATAAGCAATCAAAGATGATTCCAATACATCAACTCATGCCGAACATATTCCGGGGCAAACTAAACTGTTTCCTAATGTTCTTTCACGTTTACAGGTCAAACAGTTTTAACAGTTGGCTCCCCACATTCACATTGATGCAATACCAACAGAATTTCTAGACAACCTGATTTGACTTCCCTGAACAAAGCTCTTCCTAACAACAGCTCCATATCACATTCTTCTCAATTTAGCTATTGTAATGCCGTTAATCGGTTTACCCGTTTCCATAATACACATTACTCTCACAATCAAATGACTTTTTCAGCAAATCAAGATAAAGTTTCTTTCTTATGCTAAACGTAGCCCCTCCCGTCTTACCTCCACCATTATTTTCTTTACAGCTGTCGGTTTATATTCACATTAATATGGCTGTTGCCGAGATATGGCAAATTACCTAATATGTATACTTAAACTTGTTAAACCTCTTTGGCAAATAAATAAATTTACCTTTTTATCAATCACGTTGCCACTTTTCACTCAACAAATTTGTTACCTGTCTATTTTCTTATACATAGTACACAGGGGTAGAGCTTCCATGTCAAAACAGACGAAATTAAATATTTTGTAAACATGTACTGGAATTTTATGTATTGTTTGTAGTAACCACATCATTTTCATTTCAATTATTCCATTCATTTCAGGTAAGTAGACCTGTAATTCAGTTATGAATTAGTAAACGATTATGACAGCAGCTTCAACTGTCACATTTTAGTCAGGAAACCTGAAATTTAATCTCGTCATCTGACAGATACACATGAGTATATGAATGTTTTAGAAAAAAATCTCATTTGATTAGAAAAACTTGCAAAACAAAAAAGCACGTATCACTGAAAAGCAATTTCTTATATATTTAGAAAAAAAAGATTTTAGTAATAATGTTTCAATGTGATATAGTTATTATACAGTACACGAACAGGCTCTATCAAAATGAGTCTGCAACCTTTACTATTTTGTCGACTTGGGTCTTCTTAAGGAATTCCCTTTGCCTATAATTTTATATTTTATATTTTCAATAGTTGCCGAACGATTTCGTTGCAAAATATACTCCATTTAGTTTTTCATCAATCTTGTTTTAGATTTAACTAGTCAAGTAGGTATGCCTGTGAAAGCATTCGAAAGACCAATTTCCAAACACATTTATTATGTTCATATCAGATGAATAAACACATTTATCTTAAAGTGTTTGCATCTATTGAATATGCAAACAATATATATTGAAACACAAATACAGTCAGTACATAATATTCCATGTTATGGTCAAATCATTCATCTTACAGAATGGGTTACGTTTTTTTCCTGCATGTTCCGTAAGTTATTCACTTGTTTTTTATAAGCTTTAACAAGTTAATTTTAATGCTAAAAACAACAAAAACAAAACAATGGCCTTAATATGTTATAAAAGGGAACTGTGGCCCTTGTGAGAAATTGCAACATCTTTTAAATTTGTAAACCCAACAGACAAATACATGTAACATTGCCACGTTTCACAGTCGCGAATTCTCAGAAATCATGTTTTTTGGTAATTAAATCGAGAATCTTGTAACAGGTTTAATCGTTTGTGTGTTTGTTTTTAAAAAATCACAAATGAATTTGGAAATAAAACACTTTAAACCAAATTTGACATTTTGTAACAAAATAAAAAAATATTATCGATGTTTTTTAAAGTGACATTATGTTCATTTTTCTTTGTCGAGTTGAGCTAAACTGACTTTATATTTAAGAAGATTGATTATTTTAATAGTCATTAACCAAAAACTAATAATGACAAATGTTTCGGATAAAATATAACAACTGCCTAAAATATAAAAGAAGGTCCCACTATTTTATCAATTGAATGCTTACGATAGATTCCGGGGGAGATTTATAAAATTTTCTTTGTACCAGATACGTTATTGATTATACAAATTAACTAGACTGTACAACTGAAACAAATAAGGGCAAAATCTAAAGTAACTATGACTTTGAAACCAACCATGTACTCATGAATATACATAATGTCACTTTAAGAAACGAATTGCTTATTACAATAAGATATAAAAACTGAGATCAACAAGGAAGGATGGCATTCAATGAGCGCATTCCCTAACAAAACAAAGACAAACACGAAGATTCCGGCAGGACACCAACCAAAAACAAGAAAGGGTACAAGGGCAAAGATAAAACTTGCTGTTGATATTAAAAATAGTTGATTAAAGACAAATATCATTCTTGTGTACAGTTAATCTGATAAATACGAGTACGCACACAATGACATCATGCTATGGATGAATTATAACTTTCTGAAACTCAATGCGGACTAAACAGAGGTGATCGTCTTTGTACCAAAACGAAGTGATGTTGAAGATCTTACTGTAAGAGTCGGTGATTCTGTCATAAAACCATCAACAACAGTTTGAAACCTTGGCGCCGTATTGGACTCTCATTTAGATATGGAACAACATGTAAACTCAGTTTCTCGTTCATGATTCATGAAAATACGACAAATAGGTCAAATTCGGAAATACTTGACTGTTGATTCAACCAAAACCTTAATAAACTCTTTAGTGACATCAAAATTAGATTACTGTAATTCGTTGCTATATGGATCTTCAAAGTACGTTCTCAACAAGCTCCAAAATGTTCAAAATACGGCTGCTCGTGTTATTACCAGGACACCGCGAAACTGCCATATAACCCCAGTTTTAAAGGAACTACATTGGCTTCCTGTGCACATCAGAGTCGATTACAAACTCCTTACATATGTGTTTAAGGCGCTTCATGGACAGGCACCTACGAACATACGAAACATGCTAGAAATTTAAACCCCATCCAGACAACTTAGGTCCCAGAATGATTGCTTAGCACTTGTTGTACCGCGTAGTAGGACTGTGACTTATGGCGATCGTGCTTTTATGACGGCAGCCCCTAAACTCTGGAATGCTCTACCTAGAATACTTAAAGGTGTGAAACTCTAATAGTGTTTAAGAGAGCACTTAAAACTCACTTATTTAAGAGGTTTTATTTGGACTGATTATTTTTTAGGTTATTTCCTGAATTTTATTACTTATGTGGGTCTTTTTAACTATTTTAAACTACATTTGATTTAAATTTGGGACTTGAGCAATATTGATGTTTTATTTTTTTTTTTTTTTTTTTTTTTTTAATATTGTATCATTTTTTTGGTTATATTGTACAGTACTTTTGATCGTGTCAATGTGAATGAAAAAACGTGCTTAAGAAGTTTGGTATATAATATAGTAATAATAATAATTCTCTGTCAGTACAGAACACGTGTCTGCACCTTACAAACACGTGTTGTAAAGTTTGATGAATATGTTTTGAAATAGCTTAAAAGGCATTCCATATGGCTTTAGTGATACATATGTAAGAATGTGAGAAAATGCATACGAATGCCAAACCTATATCAGGTAATTGAAAGAAAATATTTTTTCACAAAAAAAGTTTCGTTTAAAAATCTGTATAATGGATGAGTATATATGAGTGTCGCTTACTTCACAATTAAAACCAATGCAGATAATTTGGAAAAGGTATTAAAGCAAAGCATTGGTTTGAGAAAATCGATCACAATGAAGTAACTTAGTCTATTAAAGTGACATTAAGCCCATCCAAGGGTGTATATTGAGTGAACGGTTTATTATCAAAATAAGTTTTCATTTTGCCATAATTCCTTTTAATTTA